AATGGAACCTCGTGAGCTTCTGAGCAGAGACTCAGGACTTGGCTGTTCCATCTAGAGGGACGCCCAGAGGTGCCTGATGGAAAGAAGTGGGCTGAGGAGCTTGGGGTTCCGGTGGGAGGGGGAAGGGTACATTCCCAATATTTCCAGATTTCCCCACACCATGGTAGTGATGACTTCCTCCAAGCTGCCATCACCCTCCTCCAGCTCCTGTGTATAAAAAGCAACGCCGCCTCCCTTCCCTCATACTCCTCTCCAGGGGCCGGAGGCAGCTTCACGCCCAGCCCTGGCAGCATGGCCAGTGAAGGTGCCAGTTTCCCCATGACAGGTTTGCTTTTCATTCCTGCTCCCAAGAACAGAATTGGGACCACCTACAGGCTCCCATCTAAATGCCCATTTGCACTGGGTGCAAATCTGAGGATTTCTGGGGTCCCAGAAGAAGAAGTCATCCCAGCCTCATATGTGTTGATGGGCATCTGAGTGGTCCAGGAGCTAGCTGGGTGTTGGCCTACACAGTTGCCATGTTTGGCTGAATATTGCTAGGCTTACATCATCAACAGAGATGACTGAGCCAGGCACACTGCTCCATAGAGGGGTGACCAGAGTGAATGGGGACAGGCTACCAGGAGCGAGGTGCCAGGGCCTCGATCTTTATATGGAAGTCCTCTCCTCATTCCCTCTGCCTCCCAACCCCTCAAGGCCTCGCCTGTGCAAACCTTCCTCTCTGTAGCCTTCTCTGACCTCTCTTCCAGGCGAAATGAGTTTTTCATACACCTCTGATGTATTAAATATTACTGACCCCATGCTGGTAGAATGATGAGTGTGAGGCAGCATGTTGATACAGTGGAAAGGTCCAGGCTGAGGGGCTGCACAGCCCTGAGGTTCAGTCCCAGCTTGCCCACTTGACATTTGCAGAAGAGGAACACAGGCCCCAGCACAGAGGTGCCTCTGCCCCTGTCTGTCCGAGAGGTCCTGAGGGCAGGAACCACATTGTAGACACACCTGCTAGCGTCTGCACTCAGTGAACTCGTTGCAGGGAAAGGATCTGGAGAGTCCTTGGCATGAGTGCAGATCTGAGCTGCTGTGCCTGGAGCCCCGGGACCTGCTGGTGCCACCTTCTGTAGCACCGCAGTACGCCTGCGCCCCTCCCTTCCAGGGAACCCTGAGAGGCACTGTGGGCCCTTTCCTTTATCAGTCTCATCCAGCCCATTACTGAATTCTGCTCTTTTTTTTATTTGAAAATGACTTCTTCTTATTGATTCCAAATTGCTAAATCAGGAGATTCCAAGGTTTAAAGGTTTGTTGTCATCTACTTTTTAAAAACACTTCTTATTTGAATTTGTCATCACAAATGTACATTCCTTTTAAAATAATTTTTTAGTTTAAGAAAGATCAGTTTTTAAAGGCTCTCCTTTGACCAAGAGTATCAGGCTCCCTGCCCAGGCCCTCACCCTGTCGCACTGTGTGGCCTCTGCCCCCATCCCTCCATCCCACACCCTGCTGCACTCCAAGCTTCCCAGGCCCTCCTTGCTCTGTCGCTACCCTTTGGCTTGAGAATCTGTGTAGTTCTTCCCATTTTCCTTCCACACCAAGTCCTCCCTCCTCCATCCTCTCTAGCTTGGCTCCCTCTTCCTTCCAGACTCACCTCAGATGTCTCCTCCCCCAGGAAGCCTTCCCTGACTCCCTGCCTGGCTGGGCTCCCCTCCTCTGTTCCCCTGGGGCTCCTTCTCCCTTGCTTAAATGTCTGCTGGCCTCACTGGACTATGTACCCTCTGAGGGCAGCTGGGACCTCACCCAGTCAGGCACATAGGAGGTCCCTCATGCTTGTGGCATGCGTGCACCTTCTGACCCTGCTCACGCATGCAGTGTCATCCTCTGGCCATGTATGCTGCATATGTGATGCTCATCCAGTGCTGTGTGTGTGTGTGCGGAGGCCTGTTCCCTCCCGACCTGTCACCTGTAGCTTGCCCACTCCAACCCATGGCATGCTCTGCCTCTTTATCCATGAGTCCACTTGTAAAAACACTTTTTCACTGAGAATCTTCATCACAGTTTGTGATTTAATAAAGTTGCCCTTTGTATTGCCTTTGAATCTGCAGTACCTGCGCGGCTTCTTGAAAATGCTCAGGGAAACTGTGCTCCGGTTAGTTGGGATTTTGGGGCCACAGACTGGGACACAGCCCTGAGATGGCCCCAATTCCTTACAGAGCCACAGGGGAGCTCAGTCAGGCAATAATGGCCTAGGGCGTCCAAGGGCCTCTAAGGTCCCCTAACTCGATGGAAGAGCCTGCTGTGAAAGCTCTGTGGTGTCAGGGAGAGAGACAGTTATGAGATCTTTAGGAGAAACAGCCATAGGAAAACACAGAAACAGTTGAGATTGGCCGTCAGTCTTGTTAGGTGTGTTGGGAATAACAGCCATTTGCATTATTATCTGAAAACAAATTGGCTAATGGGCTAAACACAGTTGTGCGCTTTACACTGCCCAAGTTAGATAAGAGATAAGTGCAGCTGGAAATGAGGATAACAATGAGAACCGGGGCACCGACAGGTCCGTGGAAGGTCTATCACGTGCTCACTACAGACAGCATCTCTTCCCAGGCTCTTACTAGCACAGTGCGGAGCAGAGACCCACCCTGATCCCTCTTCCAGTGAGAGGCTAGCTCTAAAGAGCAAGCTGTAGCACTAGGCCACTCTGAGGTCTTTTTAAACTTTATATCTCAATCCAGGGTTTTTATCGATTTGTTTATTCTTGTGCAGGAACCCGCGCAGGTAGAAGGACGACTAAGCCCTTGGTCCTTGAGTCAGATCGGAGCTGACAGATCAGTAGGAGGCAGGCAGGTGGGTGGGCTGAGGAGCAGGAGGCACCCTGAAGGCTTGCAGGGCTGGTGGGGGAAGAGCTAGCCTGGAAATGTAACAGGACGGTAGAGAACCTTGCAAGAGCAAAAGGAGAGAAAAGCCATTCAATACCGGAGGAGAGAGCTTGAGGAAAGGTAATAAGGAGTAGGACAAATGTAAGTCAATTCTAGGATTAGTGTCAGCCTGAGGCTCTGGAGAGCAGCCCGGAGATATTGACAGAGCCGGGAGAGCAGGGATTACACAAATAACCAATTAAAGAACATGACGGGCGGGATAAAGAGCTCCAGTGTCAGCAGGGGAGGAGCAGGAAATGCAGCCTGTCCTGAAGAGTCCCGTGTCTGGGTGTGGGACAGAATATGGCTCTGGGTCATATTGCAAAAGAGAATGGCATATTTTCTGGGTTACAAGAGGCTTTAGTGGAGGCGCGTTGAGGACTGGGGCTGCACTCTCAGAGCGTGTCCTGTCCCCGCAGAGCCTGACTTCACTCATCCCTGGGCATGGAAGGAGGAGCACTCACAAGGCAAGTGATCCATGAGTGGCCAACCTGCCCAGGGTAGTGTTCTTACAGAAAAGGAGCAAGAATGGGAAGCTGATAGAGGAGTGGATTAATAGTTGTCACCTAGAGGATGGTTCTCAGATTCACCCGGCTAGCCCAGAGCAGAGCTGATGCCCCAAATAGTGTTTAGATCTCCACAGAAGGCCTTCCCCTAGGACTTGCCCCTCCGGCTGTTGACCAGTAAGCCCTGCAGATGAACCCACAGAAGGAGATTTTATAAAGGAATGAAGGAAAGGAAAAGGAGGGAGACATAGGCTACGTGTGGGCAGCCTCAGCCGTGAGGCAGTGAGGCATCTGCTGGAAGCGAGGACGGCGGCTGAGCGCCCGCCCTGTGGGGAGAAGAATCAGTTCCCTCTAAGACAAAATGGCAGCTGCCAAAACAGAGTGGACACACCAGGAAGACACGGTCTCAGTCTTCATGTGAGGAAATGTGAAATGTAAAACAGCAGTCAATAAATAACTGAAGTGCGAATATGGAAAAAATAGTGATGCAGGGAGGTGAGCATGGAATTTGTATTTTCAATCGAATTCCGCAGTTGATACTACATTTGTCTCCTCTGTGAACTTGATTCTACAGTGGAAGGACGTGTGTATGCGTGTGCACACATGCTCATGCTGTGGCGAGAGCCCCCGCCCTTCTGTCCTGCACCCCACGGCTCACACATGCACGTCAGGTCCCCCCACAAGCACGTTGCCTACTCTCCAGGTCAGGGCCATGGCTCACCCTTGCTTGTGGGGCACTGAGCTCTGCACGGTGCTGGCATAGCACAGAGTTCATGGTACTTCCAGGCTGACCTATTGCCAGGTATGCACACTTTGCTCCTACAGGGTGACTGTCAGCCACGTGGCTGGCTTCTACACGTTGGGGGCATTTGTTCCAGGCTGGCTTGAGCCATATGATGTTGAAGTACACTCCCCAACACAGCTCCCTCAGCAAGGTCTGTGCTCAACCATCGCAGGGCCAGGGAGAATTAAGCATCAGGACCCAGCCCAGAACAGACACCGTCCCGTTGCCGGGCACGCTCACACACATCCACGTGCACTCAGACTGGGACCCTGCAGACGCACCTGAACATCACATGCACAGCTTTGGGATGCGGAAGAAAACCAGAGTACCAGAGACAACCCACGCTGGTACGGGGGGACGGCACAGCCGCCACACAGACCGCGGGTATTATCTGTGGACCTGCTCGCCCCAGCCTCACAGGCTTGAACAACCTCCACCACAGTCAGCTCCTATTGACTTTTAACACAACTGCCAGATACAAAAAACTAAAAAGGAAAAAGGGGCCCACTAGACAAAGGTTCGCAAAAATGGAATAATCCAGTGTGAAGATTTTGTAGGAATCCACCTCACGGTGTCTAACTTTCGGGCCACTGGCTCATTTCCTTTCATCCTGACTGAAATGTATTTACAGCATGCCAGTTGCCATCAGGTGTCTGCGCCAGGGCAGGCATGGGCAGTGGGAAGGACATCCTCTAACTCCCACTTGGTAGCCCCCAAAGCTGGGCAGGGCAGAATCCCGACTTGTGGCAGCGCCAGGGTCGCACACCGACGCTTCACTCATCACCTTTTCCTTTTCTCTCCCAGGTGTTCCACTGTGTCCACTTTGAGTGTCCAGAGCAGCAGAGCAGCCAGAAGGAGGAAAACAGTGAGGAACCGGGGACAGGGGACACCAGCCTGGTGGGTCAGCAGCGTGACCCCCATGCCCTGCGGGCACCCAGTGGCAGCTCGCTGCCCTCCAGCCCAGGCTCCAGCTCACGCTCCCCCAACCGGCAGCACCAATAAAGGAGGCAGCAGGCCTGGTGTGACTTGGTGGGCTCCAGCGACCACAGGAAATGGTCTCCTCCCTGAGAAGCGGTCTTTGGTTTCCACCCGCATACCTGCCCCCACCCCTTCCCAGGGAGGAGCAACCTGGCTGCAGAAGCGGACACAGAGCAGGTTTTCTCCCAAGGACAGAAAGGGGCTGCTTTGTTCTCAATTTGTCCAAATCAGGCTGGTCTCCAGGGGGAGAAAATGGGTCTTCAATCTTCATCAAGTCCACCATTAACACCCTACCTCTCTAATCTAACCCAGGCGCAGGGAACAGGGGAGGTAATAGACAGGCCTGTGCTGGAATACAAAAATGGCACACGAACGCTCAGGCGGAGGAGGAAATATCAGGCCTTTGTTACCTGGAGGCACCCTTTAGGAAATGGGCTTCCACAGAGTGCTTACTCTTACGGAATACATTGCCCTGGCAACTAAATGATTTTTTATTTCTTTTAGTTATTCTCATTCAGTGAATCGTAGGTGTTCCAGATCTATTTGAAATGCTCAAACAGCAAATCACTTGTTTTAATCCCTTTTGATGCTGTAATTTTCCTGCCTTGGTTTTGAACGGTTCAGCTTGTGGGGACAGAGACCCATCATGCGTGTCTCCTAAATGAGGCACGGATGCAGCTCATCCTGGCACCTGGGCGGCAGAGGAAAGCTTCTGAGGAAGTTCATCACATGCACACGAGCAAATCAACCTGTGGACACTGGAGTTAACAGTCACTCACATGGCTGAGTTATTCACCTGTCATTCCTGAAATGTATTCAGTCTTTACGCTTGGGAGGCTGACAATGAAACAGTTACTATGCCTGCTGCTAATTCACCATTCAGAAGTCCATGTAGATAAACGTACACCGAGTTCTGGTGTGGCCAAACCCGCCTGGGACCGCCATGGCTTTGCCGCCCCTCCGGGTGTGTTTAGCGGAGCATCAGAGAGGCAGCTGCCTGCCCATCAGCGCTGGGAATGCAGAACTGGGACTCCGGGCTTTCCCCACACCGCAGTACTCAACTGGGGATTGAAAAATAGCAGTTCTAAGAAGCTTTTCTCCTAATCCTCATTGAAAGGACCTCATTCGACAGTGGTAGCTTGATCTGGCTCCGTCTCTTACTTAGTGATTTCCTTTCTAGTTCTGACTGCCCTGGGTAACTGCGCACGTCATTGCTTGCCCCTCCGCTGTCTCCAGAGCTCCGGCCTCTGTGGCCATCAGTGTCTGCCTGGGAGTCTCCCCAGGATGGCACGGCATGCCAGCAGCATCTCGGTCCCTGGGTCCTCAGTGCCAACCTGCAGTCCTGATCAGAGGAAGGTGCGAGCGCAGAGTTTCCTTTCTGCTGTCTCAAAGACATACCGGCTGGGTCTAGAAAGAACCAACGGGTCAGCTGCTTCCTCCTAGTTTAACTTGGTTTTGAGTGATTGTCCATATTGAAATAGTAGGGTAGCATCAAACTGCGTGATTAAATTGGAAGGCTGTCTTTCCATGTGAACACAGGACGGCAGACATCAGAGGGCCACCTGGGCAGAACAGACAGGTTCCTGGGGAGAAGCCAGGTCCATGGTTCTCTGTCCTCCTCAGTGGCTCCAGCTGCAGGGCTGAGCTGCTTCCTATCCCCTCAGCTCTGATCTCCGCCACTTCCCTGTTGTGTGAGTGAGCGGAACGCCCCTGGGGTTTCAGGCAATTCATAATGTGAGGAGGTTCCTGTAAGGAACGGTGGGCGCCCACTCATGGTGGGGGGCCCTCCAGCAGGGTTGCTGACTCTCAGCCTCCAGCCCCAGGTTGCCAATTAGCCAGAGAGCTCCTGTGCACTCAGCACTTCCTTCCCCAGTGCGTTTTCTACCCAGATGGGGACAGAGGAGCCAGATCAGTCATATCAAGGGCAGAGTTCAAACGTTTTGAAAGAGCCATTCAAGTGCTTCTTTTTAAACATGGGTATCGCCTGTCCAGAGGCCCCAGGCCTGGAGCAGCACGCTGCTGACCTTGGGAAGAGAGGGTGGGCAGGTGCAGGGGGCAAAGGAGCTGCCCAGCCCTGCATCTGCAGCCCTCCAGCCCCTGCCCACAGAGCACACAGGGCCCTCCTGTGCTCTGGGAACTACATGCCATCTTGGCAGCTCGGCCTCGCATCTGAAAAGGAACATGCTGCAAAGCCTCACCCCTAGACCCGTATCTGCAGTTCCCAGACCCGTGGGGCACTTTCCTTTGGGGCATGCACCTCCAGATCTCTGTCCCTCCTGTCTCCCAGCACTTTAAGGTTGCCCCTTATTATCAGATAGAGAAGTAAGGGGAAGATGGGGCATCGCTAGCAACAGATGTCTCATTCCCCCACAGCCGTGCTGCCAGCTTGCCTCCCTCACTTTGCCGGGAGCCTGCCTCAGACTCCAGGAGAACTCCCGGGCAGGAGGGGCACTGCCCTTCCCCAAAGGGGCCTTCCGACTTGGGCAGGAGCTCTTTTCGTGTGTCCAGCTGGGCCTGGAGGCCACAGTCAAGGTGTGTCACACCACACACCAGGGCAAGGCCCTCATCTCCAGGGAACAGGGACAAGGGAGAAGCTACCACAAAGTCCCCAGCAGCCTGGAGTTCCCGAGCCTAGCTGGTCCTACAGAGCACTTCCCTGGCCACCTGGACCAAAGTGACCTAAAAACTTGAAGCTAAAAGCAAGTGCTGATGATGGGATGGTCTGGCACGTGGCTGGGAGGATTCCTGGGCATCATAGAGCCCTCAGCCCAGCAGAGAGTGGGGGCTGAGTCCTCGGGGAGCAGAGGGGTGTGAGGAAGGAGACAGGCTGGCACCCAGCAAGGCAGTCTCACAGGCGGGGCACCGCGAGCACTTTGGACTTGAAGCAGCTGTGAACCCCTCCCCACCCCAACACGCACAGACACATGTTTTGCCATTTTCTCAGCGCTTTTTCTGCTTTCATTGTTTGATTTTAGTTAGAACCACGAGCCATGATGGATGTGAGACTCTTCTCAATTGCTCTTTAAATTGTCACTTTTTAAATCTTATTAAATGAAGTGTCAATTCCTGACAAATACATTAAAAGTGTTTTATTCCTAGAAGCGTTGGGAAAAGAAATTATTTTCAGCAAGAGTAGGATGTGTTTGTTAGACTGATTCCTTGGCAAAAAGGGAAAAAAAGCTTTTGAATTGTGCAAAAGATTGCCCAGTAGTTATGCTGTCGCCCCAATTGTCAAACTGCTGTGCAGACGGCTCCAACCCAGTCAACTTCACCTTCTTTTTAATTTAGAAGACAACAAAATTGTACTCACTTATCCTTTCCAGAGCCAAGGGGGAAAAGGAAGGTAAAATCTACAACAAAAAGCGTGCGTTCTGTGTGCTGAGGCCACTCAGTAATAAAGAGACGGATCGTTCCCCCTCGCAGACTTCAATTAAGAACCTCCCTTTGGACAGGGAAGAAAGGTGTCAAAGAGGAAAAGAAAATTAAATTTGCCTCCTTCTAGGAGTCTTTCCTCCTTAGCGCTTGGTTGTCAGTGTTATTATTTTAATCTTGCCTTCTGCGTGGCGACCTCCTCCAAGCGATGCCCAGATCGGGTACAGGTCGGGCAGGGCAGGTCTGCAGCGATGCCACGGCAGAGGGGTGGGCGTGCCCCATTTATTTTGGCAACTGCAGCCATTGATTCTGTGTGTTTATCCTGACAATAGCTCCAGCGGGAGTTCAGTTAGGAATTGAAAATGCAGTTCATGGTTCTGTGCCGCTGTGGCTTTATTATTACAATATTAAATTAGAAGTTGTTGGCCGGGCGCGGTGGCTCATGCCTGTAATCCCAGCACTTTGGGAGGCCGAGGCGGGTGGATCACGAGGTCAAGAGATCGAGACCATCCTGGTCAACACGGTGAAACCCCGTCTCTACTAAAAAAACTACAAAAAATCAGCTGGGCATGGTGGCGCGTGCCTGTAATCCCAGCTACTCAGGAGGCTGAGGCAGGAGAATTGCCTGAACCCAGGAGGCGGAGGTTGCGGTGAGCCGAGATCGCGCCATTGCACTCCAGCCTGGGTAACAAGAGCGAAACTCCGTCTCAAAAAAAAAAAAAATTAGAAGTTGTCCTAGTGCCTGATGTTTGCTCAGGAGTTTCCGGAAGAGAGGGAAGGGAATGGTTTAAACGGTATGCGGGACAACTGGAACGCTCCCATCTCTCTGTCTGACACGGACCCAGTCATACCTGGGGCTGGACGGGCTTTGGAGGCCCTGGTCATTTGCAGAGTGAATGCTTGAAGGGAAGACCAGTTGCAGATAATGCCCAGCCAATGCCAGTGCGATGCAAGGCCGGGGGAGAAGGAGCAGATGCAGGAGGCCTTTGTGGTAGGTCTCTGGCTTCCTTTGGATCGGAGGGAGGAGGCTTTGCCCTTCTTGGCTCTTGGCTGCACCACTGAGGATGCTCCGAGGGACAGCATGCTCACCCTGCCTGTGTGTAATGCTGGCCCCAAGCCCCACAGCCCTCCAGCTAGGACTTCCTGCTGGGCTCATGCAGAGGCAGGGGACAGGTGCACGGACGAGGCCCCACACACACGCGTGTTTGAAAATCACTGTTCTCTTTACTCACTTAAAAAAGTGTACAGGGAACACCTGTTCCTGGCATAATGCTCCAACCTCGCAGAAGGGTCCAGGGTGCCCCTCATCTGGCTCTGGCGCTTCCAATCTGGGCCCGCGCCATCGTTTGCTTCCTCTCTGACCACCGCTGGTCGTGGTGCTGCCTGGCCCTCACCCTGCCTCCAACCCACCCAGCACCCTGACCTCTCCCATGCCAGTCTGCTGCACCCAGCAAGCTCCCAGTCAGAAGCCAGGCTGAACGGCCTCCTGCCCCATCAGGTTAGTGTCTTCTTTTTTTTCAAAGAACTGAAATATTCCCCCAGAGGTCTCATGGCCTAAAGACTCACAATCATCCACCTGTAATTTATGATAAATGTCTGGGAGCATTTACCATTTGCTTCGTATTTATAGCCCTGAGTGGGGAGGGTGGAGGAGGCCCCGCAGCCAGGAGTCACACACCTGTCTCTGCTATTGTCTCCTGCTTGGCAGAGCCCCCCCAGCCTCCCCAAGGCTGTCCTGCAGCTCTGAAAGCTGAGGAGTGCCACCTTTGAAAGCCAGTGGACAGTCACTCTGCTAGGGAGAAGGTGCTGAAGCAGAGGCCCAGGCCCTGGCACAGATGAGGCGTCGCGAGGCCGGACATGGGCTGGAGGGACTGAGCAGACTTCAGGGCAGGGACTGGGCCCTGGGTCACTGGAGACATTGATATTAGTCCATCTGTCTGCTGCCAACCGTGAGCCCCAGGGGTTTATGTCCCGGGAAGGTGAGGGTGCCCATCTGGGTAGAACTGGGAGAGGACGGCACCAGCTCGTCTCCCTCGGGGCCTTCACCTCCTGGTGCTGCCCTGGCGGCTGCTCCTGCACCACAGCCCTGAGGGCTGCTAGTCCCAAGTTCCCAGGTTTACTTCCAGCCCACATCTCCCACCCAGGCCTGAGGGTACGGGCAGTGCCCCAGTCCTAGCTGTAAGGTCTTTTAGGCTGACGGCACCATGGACTGCATGGTAACCTCTGTGACCTGCACGTATACCTCCAGATGAGTTCCTGGAAATGGAAAACCACAAAAGGGAAGAATGACCAACCCCTGCACACCTAATTAACTTTGAGACATTCTCTATTGTTCCTTATCAATTGATAAGTCAGGCAGTTGGACTTTGTAACTGATCTTGGTCAACCTCATGACTACAGACCCTATGACAACCCCCTTCCAGCTTGCAAAAATCGCCCTAAACTGTAACGTCTGTAACTTTCCACATCCTACCCCAAACCTATAAAACCAGCTCCTGTTCCTCCGCCCTCCGCTGAATCTCTTTTCGGACTCAGCGCGCCCGCGCCGGGTGAATAAACAGCCCTGTTGCTCACACAAAGCCTGTTTGGGGGGTCTCTTCATTCAGAACGTGTTTTAACATTTGGTGCCAAAATCTGGGACAGGCGTTCTCCTCTGGGGAGACCAGCCCCCTGTCCTCGCTCCCCGTCTGGGAAGAGACCCACCTGAGACCTCAACACATTAGACCAGACCAGCAGCTCGCACTTAGCCTGCGGAACAGCTCTCTCGCCACCTTTAGATCAGGTAAGCAGTCTCTCTCTCCCTCCCCGCTCCTCCCTCTCCCTCCTCCCCTCCCCCGCTCCCTCCCCCCTCCTCCCTCTCCCTCCTCCCCTCCCCCACTCCCTCTCCCTCTCCCTCTCCCTCTCCCCTTTCTTTTTTCCTTTAGAGAAAAGGAGACAAGTCTTGGAGTCTCTCTCTCCCTTTTCCTTTAAATTCCAAAGAAACAAGTCTCCCTCTCAAAGTAGAGGCAAAGGAGACACTTTATCCATGTGCTCAAAAGCTCCAACACCAGTCATGAACTCGGGAAGACGGCCTTCCCTTGGTGTCTGGTCAATCGAGGGACGCATGTCTTGATCACTCACCCATGTTACAGCCCAGGAATCAGGGACTCCTACTGAAAACCTTGGTACTGCTCACTCCATCTCCTCGTCTCTGCTTCTCATCCTTAAAACTTATCTCCTTCACCAGGGGCAATATTGCGCCCTCTATTCCTCTGTCTTTGCCTCTAGCCTGCGTCCTAAAACCTCTTCAACTATCGCCCGATCTGAAACCTAAACATCTCATTTTTCTTTTCTGTAACACAGCCCGGCCTCAGTACAAATTAGGCATTGTTCCAAATGGCCAGAAAACAGCACTTTCAATTTTTCCATTCTGTGAGACCTAAACCATTTTTGTCAATGAATGGGCAGGTGGTCTGAGGTGCCCGATGTCTGGGCATTTTCTTTTTTACACTCCAATCCCTCCCTAATCTCTGCTCTCAGTGCAGCCCGTCCCAAATTTTCCTTCTCTCCCGCCCACCCCTCCTGCCTCTGCCGGTAACCCAGAATCCTCCTTGTCTATCAACCTTCCAACCTTTCTCCTCCACCCCATTCCAAACCAGACCCCAGTGCAGGCCCTAATCCCCACCCCACAGCCTCCCTCCTCTTTCTCTGCCGACAGCCCACCTCCTTATGCCCCTCCTGTCACCTCCCCACCTCACACCCGGTCCGGCTTGCAGTTGAGTCCCGAGGCTACCTCCTCCACCCCGACCAACAATTCCCCCTTCGAGAGGTGGCTGGAGCCAAAGGCATAGTCAGGGTGCGCATTTCTTTCTCTTTATCTGACCTTTCCCAAATCGGCCAGTGGTTAGGCTCCTTTTCATCAGATCCTCAGTACTTAACCCAGTCCTATAATGTCACCTGGAGTGACTTAAATGTCATCCCTACTTCCACTCTCACCCCTGAAGAACACTTAATATGCATTTTATCACCCAACCGGCCCCTGGCATTAAAAAAGCTACAGAAATTAAAATCTGGCCCTCAAACCCACAACAGGAATTAATCAACCTCGCCTTCAAGGTGTTCAATAATAGGGAGGAAGCTGCCTGGCGGCAGCACATCCCAAAACTACAGATGCTGCCTCTGCCGTAAGACAAACCCCAGCCACACCACCGGCTCACAAAGACTTCAAAGCGCCCAGACTGCACGGTCCAGCTGTCCCTCCCAGACCTTGCTTCACCTGTCAGAAACCTGACCACTGGGCAGCCTGGGATTCCTCCTAAGCCCTGCCCCGTCTGTGCGGGGCCCCCAATGGAAGCTGGACTGTCCGACGTATGTCCCTGCTTCCAGAGCTCCTGCAGCCCCAACCCAGAACTCCTGGACCGAATCCTTCCCAGATCTCAGCTTGGCGGCTGAAGACTGACGCTGCCCAGACATCTCGGAGGCCCCCTGGACCATCACGGACACGAAGCTTTGGGTAACTCTTAGGGTGGAGGGTAAGTCCATCCCCTTCTTAATCAACACGGGGCCACCCATTCCATGCTGCCTTCTTTTCAAGGACCTGTCTCCTTGGCCTCCATAACTGCTGTGGGAATTGATGGCAAGGCCTCCAGGCCTCTCAAAACTCCCCAAGTCTGGTGTCAATCAGGCTAGCACTTCTTTCCCATTCTTTCCTAATCATCCCCACTTCTCCAGGCCCCGTTAGGCTGAGATATCTTAGCACAACTGTCTGCCTCCTTAACTATTCCTGGGCTACAGCCTCACCTCATCGCAGCCCTCCTCCCCAAACCCATACCTCCCTCAGTAGCTCCCCTTGTGTCCCCCCACCTTAACCCTAGGGTGCAGGACACTGCCTCCCCGTTGCTTGCTACAAGCTACTCACCCCTCATCATCCCCTTAAAACCTAACCACCCTTATCCCGCCCACACCAGTACCCATCCCAGCACAAGCCTTCAAAGGCCTAAAGCCCGTTAGTACTCACTCACTGCAACATGGCCTTTTAGTTCCTACAAGCTCTCCCTACAGTTCCCCTATCCTAGCTGTCCGAAAGCCAGACAAAGTCTACAAACTAGTCCAAGACCTCCACCTCATCAGACTGTACTTCCCACCCACCTGGTTGTACCAAACCCTT